AGCGACCAGACGTATAGCTCGCACGGCTCCCCATCAGACGCCACCTGGCAAGCATACATCGCACGCACTCGCGCAAGAGACTGTCAAACCTTACATATGTCGCGTAGCGTAACTTTTTAAATATATACAAAAATTGGACTGGATCTCGACTTGTCCCACAAACTTTGCACGATATCGTTAAAAATGGCGGACTCGGAAACCGGAGCGAGATTAATTTCCGTAGATGATCGCCTCGTGCTTATCTGCGCGAAAAACACGCGTCCTAGCCTGACCCGATCGATATGGGGAGAATGATTATCCGGCTGCGAAGAACGATAATCGGTGCCGTTATCTGACGGCACGCAGCTCGATGCCTAATGCAAACTCGTGACTTTATCCGGCGTCGCGGTGCGCGTTCCAGCGTGATTCCTCTTTTGTCGATGGCGTGCGCGCGGCAGCGCGTGTTGCGTCACAGATATAGAGTCGACGACGAGGGTCGTCACGCCCAGAACCGGCAGTTAAACGTTTGTTTTTCGTCGGTGCCACGGGTTCCTCGGATCATTCGATGATATTAGGCGGCTGGGCGAGAGAGGAGCGGCAGAGCAGCGCGGGATGCTGTCATTGTGAACAGAAACGGAAGGGCATCTGAGTCAGGAGGTTTCTTATCGCGGCGACTAACTGCGCAAAAATGCCTCGAGTGAAAAACATCGTTAATGCGTCAGCCGACCGTTGCAACTCTCTCTCGCGCTCTCCTTTCGCGGCGTCTACGAGACGAAGAGGAACTCGCGTCTCCTCCGCCCTCCTCCCACGTTTCCTTTCTTCTTTCTCCGTCGGTGCTCCGCGTCCCCTTTTTATAAAAGCCCAAGGCGCCTAAGAAACGCGTGCCTGCGTAAACAAGTCGTTTATCGACTATAAATACGGTACGGGTCGAACGTGTGTACGCAGGTGTCGGCTCCGGGTGTCGTCACGCGTGCCAATGACAGAGAGTGGGTGCACGGTCGCGTGTTGCTGTCACCGAATCGCCATCGATCGTGCTTTTCGATTCGTCTTCGTTTCTTCCAACTCTCCACCCAATTCTCTCCCGATCGTGCTCCTCCATTTTCTTCTCGCTCTCACCACGCGCGAGAATTTGCATTTGTTTTGTCCGGTTGGCACTGGGATTCGTGCCGAACCAGGCGATACCGGTGGGTCGAAATTCGGGCCCCGGCCATTACGGCGCCGAAAGCGACGCGATAGGCAAATAGTCCGATTAAAATTCCAAGGATGGGCTCGCTGCCTGGCCTTCGAAAGCTTAACAAGCTGCAGCCCGGATGCGTGTAACGCTCGCGTCCTTGCAGCGGCGCACTGGGTTCGCAAATCACTTTGCAAGACGCGTACGCGGCCTTGGTTCGTTCCTCCGAGTCGTTCCACCGCTCGTATCGAGCCACCTGGTCACGCTGAATTCCCGATCAGCGATCTTTCTTCGTGGAAACGCGTTTTCTTCCGTCGTCATCCTCGGCAATCGTTTCGGGACTTGGCGAATTCCTCGCGGTTGCACGTCCGCGAAGCACTCTTCTTCGATCCACCATCCTACGCCGTTTTCTAGTTCGTCCTCGAGCGTCCGTTGACAGTCTAGCTAGTCGTCGTCGACGTCGGAATTACCAGAAATCGTTGGCACGTTTCGAGGAAAAGTCGGATCGAGTCTGCTCGACCAAGCGATAATTTACGAGAGAGAAGGTCTGATAGATGGATAAGCCATGGCGAACCGTGCGTGCACGCAATGGCCAGGGTACATAACCCTCTCGAGTCTGGCGATATACAACGTCTGGCGTCATTCATGCGCCGATTAGGAAGCAGGAACGTAGATCGCGAAACGCTTCCTAGAAATTCAAGCTCGTGATCCGTGCTCGGACTTGTATTATCGGACGGTTTCGAATTGCGTAAAACCGATTCACTCGCGAATACTGGCGTAACGAGGCTCGTGTTACGGGATGCTCCGACCGAGATAGGGTGCTGCGGCGTGCGTTGGGTGTCGATCGCGAGAGGGTTGGGTGCTGCGGGGTACCTAGACCTCGCGAAGAACCGCGATGGCGCTCGTCACGTCCGGCGGAGAGAGGACGTCATGGAAACTTTCAAAGTCATCCTCCACCCGTGGTTCTGTAGATTTTCGCGGTAACGACGATGGCTAATTGCTCGATTAGAATTTCAAATCCGGTCTCGCGATCCGTGCGCTACGCGTAATGGTACCGAGAGCTTGACTATAAATAGGCGTATCGCTTCGCCACGGTTTTCCTCTCGGATGGAGAGAGAAGGCTATTTAAAGAAACCGATGTCGCCTCGACGCGCGATACACCGCCAACGCTATCGGTAGCTGGTCAGAGGCAGGTTTTCTCGGCGTTCGCGGAGGAACAATGGCGCATCGCCGCGGCGAGGTCGACCCGGTAGAACTCTCGACGACGCCACCGATAAGCCGGTTTCCTCTTTCCAGGTCGCTCCTCGATTCGGAAGTGACGCGCACGACGGCCTACTGACGCGTCAAGGTTAGATAATAATTTTCTTCTTGCCGGAGAAACGCGCGCCGGTGCGCGGCTTCTGTGCCCGGCCCGTTTTCGCGATAATATGCACGGCCGGCCTGCTCGCAAACCGGTTCCCCGGTGGAATAAATTCAGCCGCGAAACGGGCCTTTTTTCAACGATCGTCACGTACACGTACTACGTGCACAGCTGCACCGCGGCTTTTAATGGCTCGCGGGTAGTTTTTTAGGAAGCCTCCTCGGGCAAGCGGAGAGGAAGACAGGAGGCCGTCCCGGGTTCTCCTTTTACGCGAATCGCGCTTCACCGCGGGGCAATTAAAAGAGAAAGTAACGGCGAGGTTGTCGACGAGGATCCGCGCGCGCGCGCGCGCCGCCGCGACGTCTTTGCGAGCCTCGAAATGGCAGGGTATGCAAATGTGCGCGCGAGAGCGGGTCTGCTCGCGAGGCTAATCGCGACGCGAGAGAGAGAAGCGGATTTCGTGGGAATCGGCCACGCGACGCGAGGATTCTCGGCGTCCCGACCAAATAATATAATCCCCCGTTCTCTATCGATTCTCGCTTCTCGCGGAGGTTGCGCAAGCCGCGTTGGCGCGTTAGTCATCGAGCGATCGGCGGGGAGGCGTGCGAGTCGCGTAAGTGGCAGTGATTGAAAATAACCGGTCGCTTTGCTCTCGGTTCTCGCATCGCGTAAATTAACCACGCGCGGCGGCCCCCTATTTCTACGGGCAAACGCCGCCTGTCCCGTGGGCCCCGGTCTCTCGCAATCCGACGTAAATATCGCTTTTCGAGCGCCGATTACTCGCAGCTTCGTTACGCTCCGCTTATATGCAAATGCGCGGAAGGCTCGCGCGATCCTTTTTTGGACCGACGAATTCCTCTTACCTGCGCGCGGAGTTAACGACTTTGCATTTTCTCTCGAGCATATTCGCGCGGTTCTACGCTCGAATAAAATCGGATCGCGAGTCATCGCACGTACACGCGCGCGCGACCATCGAGTTCGTCGGGGGGGTATTGTCGGTATTTCGGCAGCGGGGGAGGGAATATTTTTCTTCCGTTGCGCGTTTCCACGTTTCGCGAATTCGGTCAACGCACGTGCGACGTCAGAGCCGGGGCGAGACGGCGAAGAATGCAGCGACGCGTCGCGCCGGTCGCGTTGCATAATGCAGACACTCGCGGTCGTTCTTTTTCCACGATGCACGGTGGCCGTGGCATGCGTCGATGCACGCCGCGATGGCGCGCAATATTTTCGTGACCCCCGGCTGACATTGCCAAAAGTTACGAATACGGGCGGTGATAGAGGACGGGATCCGCTCGAGTGGAGGCCAAGGTTAAGGTCGGCCCCCACCGAGCGCGTTGTGCCATCGGTTCGTCCGCCTCGTCTGCCTAACCGCTGCTATAATACCACTCCGACGCGTCTCTTTTCCCCGTGTCTCTCCTTCATTTTCGCGTCGTCTTTCCGTTGTCGTCTCTCACTCGTGGTCCTTTTCCCACTTCCGACCCTGCCAGACCTCCGCAAATCGGTTGCGATTTTCCCGCACGCGTGTACACGTCCGTATGAGAAACGAGCAACATGAAAATATTCGTGTTTTTCCATCGATAGGAATCGTCGGGTGATCTCCCGAGACAACGTCGAATGTTAAACGAGAAACGCACGGATACCAGATGGAAACCTGCCACGCGCATCGCGAGGCATCGTTCCGCGTCTGGGAACTTTCCCGAGTTTCCTTCTCGTCGATTTCGTTTTCCAAGTAGCGGAACTTGCGCTGCCAGTCCCATTGTGAAATTTAGTCGGAATCGAGTCGCGGAGAAGTTACTCGTTATTGGCTTCCACGTCGGTCGCAGACTCTGCAGCGGAATCCGACATCGGGGCCAGCCGAGCGTGAAACGCAGATACGCGTGCCTGGCTATATGCGCGTTCCTCGGATGGAGAATCGAATCCCGAATCCTCTCGCAGCCGCGGCTCACGTCGCGCCGCCGCCATTGCCGAGTCTCGCTCGGTCCCCGAACGTTTTGGGAATTATCTGGCCGAGCAATTTTCCGCGCGCGGATTCCATTTGCTTCTCCCGTGAGTCGATCGAGAGCAGTCGAATTTTCCTTACGTTCGACTGGCTTCGCGTTCCGCGAGGTTTCTAAAGTTTCCAGGTACCCCGAAAATTTCCCTCTTTTCCAGAGGGAAAGCTCTTTGCTCGTTTTCATCGACTCGCGAGGATAAACGCGCGTACGTGCTCGAAAAGCCACCCTCGCCACGCACCGAGGACTATCGAGCGAGGGTCGTAGCAGGGAATTATTATGTATTGGGAGAAACGCGCGGGAACCCCGATTTTTCTCTCGTGTCGGATGTTAAAGGGATTATCCCCGACCACGAGGACCACCCGTGGTCGCTGTACTTATTACGTCTCGTACAGCGACGAGACGTAATCTTCTCTTATTTTCTCTGTTGATAAATAAAAGAGACGGAAAATTCGGCGAACCCCTTGAGAATAACGCGCTATTTTGTTTCGTGTTACAGGCAAAGCTGCGGTGCCAATGGGATCTTCTCTCGCCGTCTGGACTTCAGCGCCTTCAACAGCCTGCCCCGGACCAAACTGAACTCCTATCACATCAAGGTGAGCGATTTATCATCCCTATATTCAACGTAATGCGTATCGTATTACGTTATTTCGTATTTCGCGCGCGGAGAGCGGCGCACTGCGCAGGCCAGTCGCGCCAGACCTGGGAAAGTTTGAAATAGTAACCCCGCTAGAGGGATTCCTTAAAGCGGAAGGTACGCGATAGAGCAAGGTCACGGCGAACGCCGGCAAATCCTCTGGCTTTAAGCCTCTCTCCGCCCAATTCCACGTTTCGACGCGTATTTCTCTCCTCGAGGATCGAACCTCGATCTCGATCCTCGAACTATACGCGTACCGATCGAGAACAGGCGCGAATTTTGATTTTCCTTTTCACCGGTAGACGTGTATACCTTTTGGATAAGTTGGTTAATAAATAGCCAACGGCGCGTTCTATTTCGACGTTGGTTTCCATTTTAACCTTGGTTCACCCTGGATTTGTTTACGCGCTATTCCAGCAACGTGCCGGAACACACAACCCCCGAACATCGTCCTTGATAACGTCATGTGCGACGCGTATCTGCTCCACCCTGCGACCTCGACTAACTGATCTCTCACGCGAGCTCGTTCGTTTTACTTTCGGTCTGCGTTTCACCCCGTGACGAATCCTTTGGCTCGCCGGACTGCGTCGTAACACTGTCGTCCTACCCCAAATACGAGGGAAAATCAATACCGTCCCTCGCGCTCGGCGGTTCGTGCATTTACACACCCCCTCGCTCGTGCAGGCCTCCAGCGCCGCGTTATTACACCGGAATCTCGATGCCACCGTGTATGCACCCTCGAGTTTCGGACGGAACGGGGTCCTACTAGATAGCAGGGTTCCTCTGCGTCGAGATACTCGTGTTTTCCGAAACCCCGGGGGACTTTTCGCACGATCATAGTCGGGGCTCTGCGGCGAGTACGCGTACGCGCGTTGCGGTAGGTCGATCGATGAAGGAGAGGGGGATAGAGACGAGAGATATAACACGAGAGTTCGAGACGCGGCGCAATAAGCTTTTTCGTGGTATCGCGTGGGGAGAATTCCGATGATTTACACCGATCTTCAGCTTTCCGAACCAGCCGCCACTCGAGTTACACTCGCGTGTACCGCGCGACGACGCGCGATGAATTTCGATGCGCGTGCGCTTTTAATCGGACACGGGTTACGAAAACGGTGACGCAACTTTCCGCAACGTACTCGCGACGCCGGTGACCGGGACGAATCGATTAAACGACACGGTTACGCGGCGGTGTAAATTCGTCCAATAACGAACGATTACGCATCGGCCCGACTGCGTGGGCGGGGCGGGTCGGTGGAAATTAGTACCACGGGAGAAATTAAAGCGATCACCGAGAGGGAA